CCCCAAAACCCCAAAACCCCAAAACCCCATTAAACTAAATTAAACTGATTAAATATAAAAATAAAATTAAAATGCATAGATAATTAGCAGCTTCCAAAAGATAATCAATCTCTCATCCTATTAAGATAGACACTACTTTCACCTAAGAAATCATTTCTGGTCATACCCAGTCTCTAGTTTGTGAATATTTTCTGCTATTAATTGAAAATTAAGAGCAAAAGCTAGTACTCAAGGATGATATTCAACTGGTAGAGGGCTTTAACCCAATCAACATTTTTTAACGAATAGATCGATCCTAATGCGGCTTCATCACGCATGCAGACATCTTGCAGTTTTTGAGAGACAATAATATAGTATCTCTTGATAAAGATGATATAAAGCTTCTTTTTAAGAAAGATAAGACCATTTATCAAGTATTTCTAAGAACTGTACTAAGCTAAGTTGAACATGAAAGTGCCAAGTTTTTTAATGTCAGAGCATCTGAAAGTGAAATTGTTGTTAGAAAGATTGATAAACTCCCGAAAAGGCTAGAGAGAAAGTTCTCTTAGTTTATACTATAGCTGGTCCAACTAGAAAAATAGATAGAGATTATGAAGCAGGTGACAGTATAAAAGCAGAAGGATTTCGATTTTATGAGAATGTTCAAAATTATCAGGTTTCATGAGCATGACGCTAATGTCATTGTCCCATAAGATATAAAGCGAATGTTTGTTATGAATAATTAGACTATTGACGAAATCAGGGTGTAGAATGTATTATTTGGATAAATTTTAGGCAGGAATGTTATGTCATTCCAGGATTTCTGTAATCTATTTGTCAAGTAAGGTCATAAGATAGTAATTACTGGAGCAACACAAGATCAATCAAACAGTTTGAAAGCCTAAGTCAGCCATTTGGCTTAAAAGTCAATTATGTAGGAATTTACAGAGAAAAAACAGAAATCAATATTCTAGGTTAGTACCAAAGATGTTATGAAAGCAGATGGAAACAAAACACTAAATACCTTAAGAAGTTCTAATAGTATATAGCAATAGCTTGAAACTCAAACTGAACTGGCTAAGACCTTGACATTTAAAACTGATTATATTTCAAGCGAAAAGATTGTGAAGAACTTTATTACATATGTTTAAGAGCAGATTATATTGGATGATTAATTGGAGGATTTGAGAATAAAGCTAACAAATGATAGAGATTTTTACCCTTAATAAGTATATAAGACTTATTTGAACTAAGACAGTAGTCTAAATGATATAGAACCAAATGAATTATTAGAATTTGTATAAGATCCCTCGATAAATATAGACGAAGTTATATAAGCTTTAGATTTTCATCAAATTAGTGGATCAAAATTGAATTTGGACACCTTTAGACTTTTGATTAGACCTTCCAACAAAGATTTCGCTCTGTTGTATGATAAAAGATGCCAAGAAGAGATAGAAAATGAAGCAGCAATATTAGATAAGACTAGATATAAAAGCGATACTAAAGAAAAGTTGATGAGTTTTTTTAGGGGATTGGTAATAAACACTATGAAAAACATTGAAATTAGAAAAACCTATTCCTAATAAAGTAAGGGAAAAGGGGTAGATATTTTTAGATTCATTACCCAAAATATGCATAGAGATGCCCCACATAGTATGCTAGTGGAGTTCCTAAAGAACAGAGGTGTAACATTAAATAGAAAAGAGTCATTGTATCTTAGGGAGAGATTTTGCTAGGATCATTACCTTTCTTCACATAAATTTGAACAACAGTTTAGGTATTGAAAAGATTATTGACACTTATATTTAGATTATTTTTATTAATATTTAAGATTATTTCTTAAAGAGAATCTTTGAAAACAGGGGTTTTGGGGTTTTGGGG